GTCTCCACGGCATTTAACACAGTACCTGGAATGTAGTATTTAACATCAATACATGTCAGTGATAATTGCTGAAATTGTAACAATTGCTCCTTCTTTCTTTTTTTATTTGAATATGGAACGTTTTATTGTCTTGGAATATTTCCACAAGAACTTTCTTGCTTGAACCTCTTGTGCTGCAAAAAAAGTACCACAAAGTAGCAGGATTCCCCTGGTTCTTTCTTATTTCAAACCCAGATTTGAAGAATACCAGTAATACAGTTAAATTACCCCATTGTGCTACATGAAGTAAAAAAGAAAAAGAAGCTACTTCTAGGCTGTTCACTTTGCAGTGATGGCATAAGAAACATTTCTGTGCGCTTTCTAAACAGGAATATTATAGGCATGGCAATGTTATTTTTGAAATCATGAAAAGAATCTGTTACTTAGTTCTAAGTGCAAGGTAATTGTATCTACCTTTGCAATAACATATTTAGTGAAATGGCTGTAGCTGAAAAGTCCTTCAAGAGGACAGACAAGGAAATGTCATAATAGTTGGGACAGGAAGGGAAGGAGATAAGGGAGAATCTAGGACTCAGGGCCTAGTGCTTGAGACTATTGGAAGTCAGTTTGAAATGAAGCCTGTTACATGGCAGTTAATAAATACTTGCTGGGCTAATATAGTGTATATCTAAGTACTACAATGGATGGGCTTTGTCATTTGATAAAACATTAGCCTACAGTTTAGATATAAGGGAAAAAATGGGGCTACAATATGAATAAGTAAATTAGCATTTTAATTTTTTTTTAATCTTCTCTAAAGAAACCTCAAAGCCTCTGCATTTTTCAAGTCTTAGAGCTCAGTTCTAGAGAGATTAAATTAATTGTTCAGGTAATTGAGCTAGTTAACTGCAGAGCGGGAATTAAAATCTAGGTTTTGTGATTCTTATTTTTTTTTTAACCTATCACTGACTAAATTTAAATATTATATCATTTTAGGTGTTTTATGAAGTCCTTTCAGAATTATAAATTTATGGGAGCAGAAGTTGGCATAATGGCTATGTCACTGAACTCCCACGTAGATGACTGCACTTCGAGTCCCGGACCTGGTTGCTTAAACTCACGCCAGCCACGTGTGCGTGTGTGCCCAAGATCCCGAGAGGAGAATGAGGAGAAGGGATTGTGGCCTAGCCATTCCCCACGTGGGGTGATTTCTTGCTTTCTGTTTTTCTTTCTCTCTCTGTCTTTCTGGCGAGCACATGTACCCTATAGCAAAAACCTCTCCAAAAAAGAAAAAGAAATTTAAAATTTATTTTCCTCCTCCTGCTTCTATATTGTTTCTCATGGATTTTACATATGTTATATATTCCATAATAAATTGTTGTTTTTTATATTTGCATTTAATCATTATACAACTTTGCAGCATACAAAACAGTGTTTCAAAGCATATATGCATTGCATGTCAAACAAGTCATAGATATTACCATATGCATTATTCTCACAGGAACTTGTCCATGCTTGTGTTTGTTTTGTTCTTTTTTTTTTTTTTCCCCTGAGTGTCTCCTTCCTACCCCCTGGTTTTCTGATTTTTTTTTTTTTTTGAGAGGTTTTTGCTATAGGGTACATGCAGTCGCCAGAAAGACAGAGAGGGACAGAGAGACAAAAAGCAAGAAATCACCCTTCCCAGGGGGAATGGCCATGCCACTATCCCTTCTCCTCCATTCTCCTCTCAGGATCTTGGGCATGCATGCACACGCACCCAGTATGAGTTTAAGCCACCGGGTCCAGGATTCAAATTGTGGTCAACTACATGGGAGTCCAGTGACATAACCATTACACCAACTGCTGGTCCCCATGGTTTTCTGATTTTAAGTATAGCATTCTTTTCGTTTTATTACAAGGTTTCTTGAAGTGAATGTGTTTGGTTTCTTATATGTAAAACAAGCTTGAATTGATACTTGAGATACTGAAAAGTGGTCTTGGAGGAAATGCAGATTTATGTCAGTATGTAGGCATTGGTAAATGCCTCCGGCTGCCCCAGCCTGTTATTGTGTGAAATGAATGGGAATAGGGCATTGAGAGGCATGGAAACAGTGTCCATCCCCAACAGCAGTACAAAAAACGTTCCTACTATCTACAAAAGAACAACTATAAAGTTGCTAGCCCATAAGATAGATGTCTTGCCTACCATTGCTAGTCCTTTCAGCCAGTTTTTTCTCGGTTCGGCTAACATCATAATCCTTCCACCCCCATGTATGCAGATTTACATACACACCACCATAAAGCATGCTTGCAGCCTCTTATTTCCAATTCAAAAGTTTCAAGGCAATAAAATTGAAATTCCAGTGTTTAAAAGCCTATATAAGCTATTTGGGGGCCAACAGGTGGCATGGTGGTTATTGTGCTGGACCCCCATATGGATGACTGGACCAAGCCCTGGACCTGGTAGCTTTAAAATCATGCCGGGTACATGTGTGTTTATGCCCCAAATCGATCGCAGGAAGAGAGTAAAGGAGAAGGGACTGCAGTGTGGCCATCTCTGGGGGGTGGGGGGAAGGGTGGATTTCTCACTTTTACTCTCTCTCTCTGGTGAGCACACTCACCCTATGGCAGAAACCTAAAAAGAAAAAATAAAGCCTATATAAACTATTCTTTAGTAACTGTAGACTATGAAAAACGAGTGACTCTCCACTTTCATGATTTTTCTTTAATATCTAAGCAAATGCTATAAATGGGAAGCCGAAGTAGGTTATAACTCTTTGAAAGGTAAATGCAAATTTATCATTTTTTGCAGGGGTTATATGTATTCATGTCAGAAAAACCCAAAACAGTCAACAGAGAAACCATCAGAATGAGTTTCAGAAATGCATTAAAAAGGGCTGATCCCAGCTCTCAAGGAGAGCTAGAATGTAAGGTGTTTCCCAAAATGTCTGACGTGCAGTGAGTACATTTGGGAAAATTATTGCTTTCTGTAATTCTGGAGACTGGAGCACAATCTGTCTGGCCAGTTAACAGCAGATGACCTAGTGGGCATGTTTCCACATGGCGCATACTACATATCAACGTATGCATGTTGATGCCAAAGAAGCTAAAATAAGTTCTTGTCAAAATATTTATGGACTTGATTAAAGCTGTTAAGAGTAGAGATATATACAAAGAAATAAAAGCTACCACATGGTTCTCAGTTTTCAGATTCTGTCTATCTTCTGTTGATATGAGTGACAACCATAATCTTATATTCAAGCAGCTTACATGTTTAACATAATGTGTTGTTAGGTTTGATAAATAAAAGTCTTGTGTTTTGGGTGATTTTTATTTTTTTCTTAAGTAACACCATACTGTTGCCTTCAATTACATTGCTATAGAAATATATTTTCCTAGAATCACTGAAGTTTACAAAAGTATCTTTTTAAGTTGTCTGGTTAATAACTTGAAATCAAATCCAGATGGAACCTC